CGCCCCATGCCCCACGAGGTGGAAACGGGATTTCACCATATACTTCACAAATTTGAATATATATCTAGAACTATAATATGCAAATCATTGTTTACGTTTTTGAACTCATTCGAGACTATTGTAAAATACTAGGCGAAAGTTGCCTATTATAATATTTAAATTAAGTCCGTGTTCCTATCGATGTCTTGTAAAGTTATAACATAGAAAATTGTGGAATACTAATGGAAGATTCAGCTAACATTACGTAAACAACTTTATTTATGGTGTCATTTGCAAATTGAACGCATAAATTAGTTTTTTCTGTCACGCTTGATTGTACGTTAGACGTGGAACAGATGGTATGGTTACGTAAATTTTAAATAAAAATCTCTTTTCGATATTTTTATAATATTTCACGTTTCCTCTGAACACCTCGGACTTAAAAACTCCGGTTTTAAAAAGTTCTAGTTATTGACCGGCTGAATGGTGTTACACCACTGAGCCGGTCAGCAGTATAGGCTATTAATCAAGGAGTTGTGGGTTTAATCCTCCAGGTCTAATAAATTAATAATTTTTCCGAAACAGGTTGGACTTTGTCTAGAAGTGTTGATTAAATGGGTGGTAGGAATATCGAAATTACAGTCCACAGATGAAAATGCCGTCAAGTATATTCGCGTTTCGGCTTCCGTATGTGGATTTCCGAATATTAAAAGCCAAAATAGGACGACAGCGCATCTTGTTTTGATGTTATATGGCTGGGGTATTTCGCCTACCATCGAATGACTGCTTATTTCCTTCTCAATCATAAAAAAAAGTCAGACCCATATCAAGAATTCTAGTTAGAAACCTTTGATTTTAATCGGATCAAATATAATTGGATCGTGTTTTAAACCGTTAAGTGTTTTATTTCAAACCACGAAATAAATCAATAGTCAAATACATTTCCTATCGATTGTATGCCTCCTACTTTTAAATAATTATCAAGTCTATCCCATTACTAAGCCATTCAAAGGATATCCATTAGTTTTATCTATTCAATTACTTAATATTACAAATATTAAACAAGAAATAAGCGTAACATCCGTCAAATACAACTTTCGAAAGAAACATTAAACGGAACTAAAACTACAAATTACTTGTAGACTTGTATAAGTAAACCACTTTCGTTCCTTCCACTGTCAAGTGTCCGATTGGCTTTTGTTTTTTTCTTTCTTTATATTTTTTGATATCGTATAATATATACAATTCATCGTGTTAGTTACTATTCTTCTCTGAATCGGCTTCACCAATTCTTATACATTTTTTATGCATTCTACTCTATTATTCGTATTCCCTAACATTAAATTTTTTGGTATTTTTTTTATGAGAAATTAAATATAGATACAACTTTCTTTCACCAACCCCTATCTTTCAATAGTTGTTTATCTCGCTAGATAACTAATCAATTATCACTTAATAAGTTATCCCCCCAGGCGTCTATTATTCTTAATAAATTAATGATTGTCGTTTTGTTATTTTCATATGTCTACACTAGAATTTTCCTAAAAACATTTTCGGGTCAGCTAGTTAATTGAATATTATCTATAGTATCTAATAAATAACTCAGATAGGATTTTGTTTCTTTACTGTAGTTTTGTATAGTTAGTATATATTATCGTTTATTTAACTGTTTCCAAGCCGTTTCAAATATTCGATCAATCATAAATCTTTAACTGCGTCTGATCCAGATTTTAAGGTCTAAAATCTGCAAATAAAAGAAACATTATGTTAATTGTTATACAGTATTCTACCGCTAACTTCTTTGTTAACCATAATTCCCTACTGACTATTGTAACAGTTGTAAAAATATGACGAAATACATAACCCTCCTTTGGGAATACTCAGGTCAACAAGTACCTTTTAAACTATTGTTTGTGTTGCCATGGTAACGAGGGGTCAACGAACTATTTAATCATTATAGATAGTGGTTCCACCTGGTTGAATGAGTGTACCTGCATCGTTTAATTGGTTCAAGCAAAAGGAAGTGTACTACTTTGCGTATAGTAATTCTTACGCTTATAAAATTGCTTAAACTAATTTGTAGTCTTCAAATCCGTAACATTTTGTTACTTTTTTTACATTAAGCAATAGAAAGGAAGTATGTACTTACGAGTTATCAGTTCCTGGTTCCTTAATATAGCTGTTGAGATGGAAGTTCCCATCTCCAATTCTGAACAAAAGTGAAATTTTAATAAAGCACATAGAGTTTTTGTACTTGTTTTAACTAGGTACCTATGTCCCGACGTTTCGGATGCTTTACAGTCTGACGGTCACAGACGGTCGTAAGGCGTTAAAAGTGTCTTATAAAAACGATTCGGGTTAACTTAAAAACTAATACTTAAGTTATATTATTCGTAATCCGCTTTCGACGACGAACATCAATTAATCGTAATTTTAAAAAAAGGAATGACATTTGGTTTGCAGGTGTACATACATATATATCCTTTCTCTATAAATATTTTTTAATTAGAGCTTTTGGAAAGGTTACACTTACAGAACACATGTACTTAAACCTTTTATGTGTAAGCTTATTTATAAGCAGCTATGTTATTAGGACGTTATAATATAAATTAAAAATCGTTTTTAAATTGAAAAAACGCCGGACTTGCTTACCCAATGAGCACGTTTGGCGACATGGGCACGACGTGGTAGCTCAAATGGTTAGAGCAACCAATTGAGCAGGATAGGATTTAGCTAATTGAGCAATTGTGTCCTGCCCGTGTCGCAAAACACGGTAGCTCAATTAGTTAAAGGTTGGTACTGTGCGTCGTTAAATTTGTTTAATCTAAAATCGATTTATGTGAAAAATATTAAACATTTTCAAACGTTATAACTTCCACTAGCATTACATCAATGTAATTGCCTTAAGTACTTATACACTTGCCAGGGACGGGACGTGAGGGTTGGGCCTTATTACTTCCGAGGGTCCGCGCCGGATGCCGCCGTCACGCATCGCCGTTTGCGCATGACGAGTTTGCCTCACCTCAGCTAACCGACCATTTTGAATAACCATTACCCACCTAACAAAGACCAGATATCAAACAGTACACCAGAATGCACCGCTTAAAACAATGATTCACAGTTGCATAACAACAGTGAAAATAATAGTATGAACTCGAGTCAATTTCTCGTTATCATTGACCGATTTAATAGGCTATGGGTGCGTATAGGCTTAGCCTTGGTGCGTGGTTCCAGGCTGTTGCTTTAGACACGTGAGATGGTTGAAACAAGAGAACGTGGCTGGATTACATGTAATCGATATAGTAAAATGTATGTCGTTTTCACGCGTTTTCCATTTCAAACGATCTATTTATTTTTCTCGTTATACTAGATGTCTAGCTGTGCCCGCGACTTCGGCCGCGTGAAATAGTTGTTTTTTTATTTTAGCTGAGTTTTATAAATTATAGTTGTTACCTACGGCTTCATCAGCGTCCCGTTATTCTTCCAAGTTAATTTTAAAAGATTAAAATCTTAACATATATACTGTCGCGGACATTTTTTAGATCTTTTAAAGAGGAATCATTCTTGCATACACATTGCTTGGTTTTTTGAACCGTATTCGCAGCGAACGCAACGGAAGCCCTCAATAATGAAACATTTTCCGAGTTATTTAAATAAATTGTAAAATTTTCACTGTTTGCTCACATTAGTGGCAGCGTGATGTTATATTGATTGCCTAATGGTCCATTGAATACAAAAATAAGTTTTCAATTCTAACCAGTAGTTCCTGAGATTAGCGCGTTCAAACAAACAAACAGTTTGATAATATTAGTATAGATTATATTGCTCGCGCTATTTTTACGGTCGTAAGATAAACAAGTAATCTATTTGAAATTAGAACGATTCCCTCCTTTCATAATAAATGGGTTTAATAAGGAACATCAAACGAGATATTTGTTTATTCTCTATACATAATAATCTGTCTGTAGCAAAAAGATAATTGAGCACGCTCTAAAGATTAACATCAGATTTGTGGCAAAGGCCTTTGTACCAGCGTATTTCGTTTTTTAGTAGATACATAAGTACAACAGTACGTGTCCATATAAGACGTCTACGGAAATGGCTTACGAGTGTTTTTATAAGGTATGACCGGAACGAACTTTGGTTTTTAAGAATTCGTTGAACACGCTTCACTTTTTTTAACGTAATTAAATTGGTGTCTATTTAATCGCAATACCGTTATAATTCTTTTAAAATTCGTTGCAACCTATTTGTGTCCCACTATTGAGTAGTACGAGCTTCGGCCCACCACGCTGCTTTGTTACGGATTGGCCAGCTTTAACGACTAGTGCCACTAAATTGATGATAATAACCGGGATAAGTGGTTTCTCGCGATGTAAGACTACTAGATAACAATAAAAATCATAATACCGTTAGTAATATTAGTGCATTTCGCCTGAATCGGGGTCGAAATCTGGGACCTCGTTGTTTTGCAATCCAGCATATTAACCACTACACCAACGTCAGAGTTATCGAAACACTATCGCTTAATTGCGACCTTCAAACAATCTCATGAACGTAACGGGCGTCTAGGGTTTTTACCTTGTTCGCATACAGGTCAATAAGCAAGCGGTTACAGCAAAAGCGTGGGACTACCATGACACTGTCGATTACAATTGACAATCCATACTTTTTGTCATTGGTTCACAAGGAGTGTACTTATTAACAATTCCGTTACTTTGTTTTTTATCTATTGTCTTGCTTCCATTCTGTCTTGGCATCATCCAAGCGCGTCTGCTCCAATCTCCAAATATTGTCAGCGACCTAATACCCCCATTTCATTTCCACCGTTTTCAGTCTAGATAGAATAGCATTATCTAAAATTTTCCCACTATTATATTCTTAAATGTACATAAACTTCAAGTAATTTAAGTGAAACTGACGGACTATGCATGACTTCTTAGATTCCGATTGTAGTTTAATGATCGGTGATAGTGAAATGACATAGTTTCGCGATGTATGTATATGTGTTTTTGTTGCAGGTACCAGAAAGAATTGAGCAGTGTTCTCAACTTTCATCGAGTAGCATTTTGGAGCAAAGCGGAGAGGTGGTTAAGCCACCAGATAAAAGTGTTAGGGATAACGAGATCCATTATACAGAAGTAAATGCTTTGAATATGGAAGTGGATACTCTAAGGTGGCAACTGGCTCAGGTAACTAATATTAGTGTATGGCTTTCTATTTGTCATGGTGCACCATATTAGATTCCTTAGATTACTACTATTTTTAAGATTTGCGAATGTATTTTATTGCGTTGCGATTGCTATACCATAATTTAAGCTAAAAATAATTTTATGCAAATATTATTGTAATATTACAGACCGAAGCGAACAGGCAAATGCATATAGCTTTACTTAAACAAATAGTCACTTTCCTAAACAGAGTAAAGGAACACATTGAATGCCAGAAAAGTGAGCCAATACACAAAGAAGAAAAAATCTTTCCAAAGATTGTACAAAAGTCACACAATTTCAGTGACTTGCCTCGATCAAAATCTGTCTTTCACGTTGACAAACATCTAGACGTTATAAGCCCCACCAAGAAAATCAGTACAAGAAAAATCAGCAAATCTATAAGTAATGTAAACGGACACAAGGATTGCAGTAACATTTGGTAAGTTGCAAATCGAAATTTATATCCACTTAACTTTATACAGCGGCAATCAAATGTCTTTTCAAGATCAATGATGAAACAACTTAGTGAAAACAAGTTGAAGTTTTTTATGACTCCGGTGAATTAGGTGGCTGGCGAGTTTTTATTTTATAAATGGATGATACGTCCTTGATACCGTTTATAATAATACCGGTTTTGACACACATTCAACAGTACACTGCATAATGCTTGTGGTATCCGTTGTTTGTTGTTGAAATACCAGGCAGAATAATTCGAACGTGCGGTATGCCAAATATATCTGTAGCATTATTCACTGAATTATTGTTTTCAGGGGAAATTCAAAGCTGTCTTTGGTTTCTGAAAACGAAATCGCTCATAAGCTTACCGAGGAGATGTCGAGGTTGATAACTCTTGCCAATACTGTGCTAAGTACAAAAATACCTGACCTTGTATGCGCCAGTCCTGGAAATAGCCATGAAAATTTCCTGCAACTTAACGACGATACTAAAATTGATGACACAGTACAAAATGACACGAACGATAATCAAAGTTTCGTCTGTAAAAAAAGTGACTCGGAGAGTTTGACTATAAAGTATAACAGTCTGCCCTATAAAGACTATTCTAAGGATTCTATATCGGATGTCTTGAACACATCCCAAGCTTCCTTCAATGCGTTAAGAAGTGACTCCAACGAGACGAAACGTGAAAATACGGATTCTCCAAATAGTTTAATTTCAGCTGAAGTGAAACCTTTTGCACTGAATAAAAAGATTGAGTACAATTCTGTTTCAAACTTTATAGAAGACGAAAGTGGTTTTTCGTCTATGAGCTCCTTTCAAGAAATCGGGATTCCGATAATTAGCATTATTCCCCCATCACCCGACAAAGAAATCGCATACATGGGCGAATTTACAGATATAAACGAAACTGAAAAGTGGAAGACTGATTCTATCGAATTCGATAAGCAAAGTGTCAAGGTTTTTTGGGTATAATTTGAAATTGTACAAATACAAAGTAGATGTGTACGTTTAATGTTTTAGAGATAACGTTTTTTATTTAATGTTATTTTATAAACTTGAATACTGTCAAGATAGCATGTCGAGCATTTAACTTAAAGTACAGGATTGTTTTAAACATTTCTAAGGATTTAATCGTTTCCACTGTGCGAAGAGAGTTTCTATTTTTAAAATAATCCTGTATGTTTTAACTGCCGTAGTATATAATTTAGATGTATTTTATTATGCCGTATTTATAAATTTGACGAAATAAATAACGTAATTTTTTTAAGTGTTGGTATTTTTAAAACGCATAAAATGAACCTAACCTTCGAATGCATGTCGAAAGCAGTGATAACCTCGTAGAGGGCCTTGTTCGATGTTGATCCGCAATGCAATTTAAGCAAGAAACCATGGCAATGACTTCAAAATTGGTTTTTATTTTATGAGCATGCGGGTGATAGACCTGTGTCCTCATCAGACAAAACAATGGACGTTAGTTAAAAACAGAATATGCTATATTTTATAATTTGTTCTATATGAATAATATTATATACTAATAGATGAAGTAATAAATATAAATAAACACTAGATACAATAGCTCTGGTTTCGTCATATCCCTTTGTTTTCGTGTATTATTTATCAATATAGTTTCACGCATTTAAACACACTGCAAACTTTTTTTTTGTTTAGAAACTTGAAATAGTAAATGGTATAGTGGTATTTTTATTTCCTTTTTTGTTATGTTTATATCGTACATTATGTCGACCTTTTTTAAATTGCCATACATATGCAAAATAAAAGAAAACAGTTCAACAATATCTGTCACAATATTTTAAAAAAGTCATTTGTTAAAACTTTTATAAATGTAAAAATCTAAATTTTCGTATATTTTATTAAAAATTGTCTAAATTCTTGTAAAAATGGCAGACCTTGAGGATGATAAGGCTAGCGGTGATGTAGTTTCTGAACACAAGCCTGAAGGGCTTCCCGAACCCGAACCACCAAAGATACCAGATGTGGAGCTCATTGTAGACGGTTTCGGCTTCATGCCCAAAGACTATCCGAGGGCCACTAAAAGTAGATCGTCTAATGTTTTCACGAAGTCATCGAGAATGTTGAAGGAAATCAAAGGAACGGAAGCGGAGCAGAGTCCCTGTGCGTCCAGCACGAACATTGATATAGTTAGGCGGTACACTTGGAAAACAAAAAATAGGATGATAGTTCAGGTACATCACGGTTTAATATACCCAAATATCATTAGGGGATTAACTCTAAGAACGAGACATTAACACATTGATTTATTGTATGTATACTTTTACAATTCTGAGATAATTTGCGACTTTTGTTATCATAAATATTGTATCTTTTTTAAGAATAATCCTCAAAGTTTTAGACGGACTCTTTGATCTAATGGTAGCAATGTAGAGCTAATAATCACGATATAGTGGTTCTATCCCCGCCGGGTGTAACACATTTCTAATCAATATAACATGTGAGACATCGTCTGGAAAGCTGTATAATAAGTAGGGTAGGAATTTTGAAAAATCCAGCCACAAACCACCATTTCAGTTTTTCAGTGAATCTCTGAATGAAATGAACTTCAAAACATGCCGACAGTGCATCTTGTTTAGATGTTATATGTCAAGGATATTTTTCCTTCCATCTAGTCAACATCGTGCTTGTCTGCGCTCTTGTGTCATAAAGAAGGACTACATTTACGCAATAACTGTGACTAATTGCCCAAAAACAATGTCCTTAGGACATAAAGTCCTATAAAATAATACTTATTAATTAATAACTAAATGACAGATCATCACATACGGTGCTACGATAACATCAATTCAAGCACCGGATCGTAAAGGAGTGCCCGATGATGTTGTCGCAGGATTTGATACATTAGAAGGTAAATATAGATTGCTTTAAAGAGATTTCGTGTTTATAACCGTGGTTCTTATTATAAGGTGTTTTAATATCATAATGTTTACTGGAGATCTTCCACAAACAACGATCACTTTGAGGTAACGCTAATAAGCAGATCGTATCGAACTTTTCTCTCTAGGATTAACAGGTTTTGTCACAATATTTTTCCTTTTATAGTGTGTCAGAAATAGAAATATTATTTCATTTTTAATAAACAATACACCACCACTTGTATGTTCTCTAGAATATTTCCAGTCCAGAAATCCCTACTTTGGTGCGACAATAGGACGCTACGCTAACTATATACGCGACGGTACGATGGTAGTGAAGCCTTCCGGAAGAATGTATATGCTCTCAACGAACAGAGGTCATAATCATTACCATGGAGGGTACATGGGTTTTGACAAGGTAAACATATTTGATAACTTCGGGTAGTGACAGTTCAGCTTAATATACATTTTGACAAAGGAATCACTGCTTCTATGTTTCAATCGGTTAAACAGGAAGTCAGCGAGACCTGAAAACTTTAATATTTTTCACATGTTAGTGAACATGAGGGCACTATATAAATTTAAAATCGATTTTAAATTGAAAAAAAAAATCTATTATTTATACATTAAAACCAATTGAGCTACCGTATCAATAGGTTAAAAATAAATGTGACAATGACGTGTAGGACACGGTAGCTCAATTGTGAGAGCAACAGCACCGAACGCTGTGGATGCCAGTTCATGTTGTAAATTTGTCAATTTATAATCGATTTTTAATTAAGCCAGCGAGATCTTGTGGTGTGGTCGAGTCACACAAGCTTAATAAGCAGAATTAGCAGAATTATTTCGGAATTTTGAAATCTTAACTTTTAACTCGAATTGTTTTGAGGTAACTTCAGTCAGTCGATTCAGTCACTCTATACAAAGGGGTCAGCCAGGACATCTCGCCCACGTCTTTCAAGTCCCCCGATGGGCTCTTGAATGTTTAGTGGATAGTGGCCGAGTTGGCTGACCCAACTCCCCCCCCACCACTCTATATCCGGCTTGTTACTATTACAGGTTAACTGGCGTTCGTACGTCGTCGGCAATAAAGTAATAATGAGCCACGTGTCTGAGCGATTCCACGAAGGTTACCCTGGGACGATGATGGCGCAAGTCTCCTTCGAAGTGACCTGTGATAACACACTCAAGATCGAAATGAAGTGCACCACGAGTGAACCGACTATTGTTAATCTTAGCAACTCTCCGTATTTCAATTTAGCTGGGCATGTAAGTGTAACTTCAAAACAATTTTACATTTTACTCTTAAAAAAAAATGAGAGAACGATAATATATCGCATAGATCGATAGAGTATAGTTTCAATAAAAAAAAAATTATACCAACACCATATCATACAAGCGTTAAAGAATTTTGTGACAATTTTACTTCGTATCCAACAGTCACCAAGACAATTTTCTGTTAATTTAAAATTAGAGTTTTCTTACGGGCTTCATATGATTTTAATATTAAAATAATATTAATAAATAGTATACACAATAGCGTAATTATTTTACCTAGTTACTTTTTAGTTGAAGGCAATGTGCAATACTAATTTTTATAGATTAACTAGTAACATGATATTTAAATAAAACACCTTAACGGTTTAAAACGCGATATATTAGTTATTGGATTAGACAGTATTTAACATGATATTTTATAATTGGATTGATGAATTACAAAACAAGAAATCTGATATGTGATTAAGTGATTAATTTGGTCATTTATTCGATTTCAGCACGCCGGCTGCGAGACAGTGTACGACCACATCTTCACAATCAATGCTGACAAATTTACGGAGGTCGATGAAGATGGGCTCGTGACAGGTAATACAATAAAACTGTATTTACTAGGAATGACTGGCTCTGATCGACAAAAGGACAAGCATGAGGTTTAGATAATGGTAGATGCAATACCCCATATAACATCTGAACAAGATGCGCTGTCGTCCTATTTTGGCTTTGGATATTTGGAAATCCATAAACTGAAACCGGAACGCGATAAAGATTGATGTATTTTTTGATCTGTGGACGGCGGTTCGTGACCCAGACGGAAGATGATATTGCTGCCACCCATTTAACATTTAGTTTCTAGATACTGCCTATAGTTTACGCGAGTAGTACACATTTTAATAAAACACTTTAACGGTTTAAAACGCGATATATTGGTTAAACTTATTTGATAATCATTTTTAACATCCCGGGGAGGTCTCCCCGTGACCACGGCTGCTGCAAAGCATCCGAAACGTCGGGCCGAAGTTAAAAATCATTTTCAAATAAGTTTAAGTAATATATCGCGATTTAAACCGTTAACGTGTTTTATTTAAATTTAGATTCTAGACAAAGTCCAAGTTGATTAGAAAAATGTTGGCCCGGGTGGAGTTTGAAACCCCGACCCATTGATTATAGCCATACATTGCTACCATTACAACTCTGTTGACATTTAAATAAAAACACTTTTAGTGGAATCGAAGCGACCCTTCCTCGTGATCAAGACATGACACGGCATCAAAAACGTCGGGCCGTATTTAAAAGCATTTCTAAATAATTTCAACTAATAACATTAACACTTTGCGTTTTAAACGGTTATAAGTGTTTTATTTAAATATGGACTACTCGTGTAAACTACAGACGTGCAGAAGTTTTCATTATCATTATTCGGTCTTCTAGCCACGGATTAGTTATTGTCCAAACTAGAATTCAGTCCACCGATATAATCACAAATTTGAAATAAAATTACTGTCTATTATATACCAGAACCAACAAAATTTTCAGGTGAAAAGAAAATAGTTGGAGCCACCGCGTACGACTTCAGAGTTCCGAGGGTTTTGCGAACTATGCTGCCCAAGATCCCGCAAGGAGGCTACGATATAAACTACTGTGTGACTCAGGGGACGGAGCAAGATCTTACATTTCAGGCCCGGTAATAATATACGTATCTATTTATGTACTGCTAAAATCTTTGCCCGATCAAGCATAGACTCTAAACTCGGAATTCCTAAGTTGTTATTAAAATGCTACTGGTCGCGACTTTACCTGTGTAGAAATGTAAGATTTACAATAATTAATTGTCTTTAATTTATGGTAGGTGAAACACATTTAAATAAAACACTTTAAAACGCGGAATATGTTGGTTTACTTATATTTAACATGGCAACGGTACTGTTTAACTAATATAGTGCGCATTTTTAACAGTTGATTTATAAGATTAAATTAAAAATCTAATTTCTAGTGCATTTTTAACAGTGTCTATTTTAGGGAGAAATTACTTATTGCTTATATTTATTGTACCTTATATATCTATACTAATATAATAAATCAATAGAGTTTCTTTGTGAGTTTGCTTCTTCAAAATAAGTTCGCCTCAAACGGCTCGTAATGTGTGATATAAACTTAGTGTTTGCGAATTTATTTTTCCAGAGTACTTCATCCTATAACAGGAAGAGTTCTTGAAGTGTATAGTAATCAGCCCGGTATGCAGTTTTACACAGGAAACCTGCTTCCTGACCCTGACAAAATTGTTGAGGTATATCTTTATTAAAACAACAATTAGGTTAATATAAAAGCAACATATTTTCATCTTTATTAAAAATAATTATCATCTACCACACGGGCTTGATGCCATATAAGTCTTTTAATTTTTTGATCTAAGTTATATACTTATTATATACATACAAGTTGGAAAAATAGTTCTTAAATTTAAACAACTGTACGAAGCGCCATCTCTATATAAAATGAGACGGATATAATATTTTTAAAGACCACGAGTTGATTAGAATCAAAAATGATTGATTAGAAGAAAAAAAAGAAGGAAAAAAAAAAAGTGTAATCTCGTCTAATCGTATCTAAGTACAGGCTTACTTCTTTTCCTTGATGACGTCACCTCAGTATTCCTCAAACATTATAGTTTTACTGTAAGTTTCCTGTCTTCGAGGCATTTACCGTACCGAAATTGGTACAGTATATTTCATCCGTCGCATCATATATTTTTGTACAGACCCCAGCCAGTGAAGAGGGAGGTGAAGCCGAAAAGTCTGAAAGTGAGGGTGAAAGCGAGACAAGCAGTAGGACTAGTGCGAAAGGAGAACATGTGAATGAAGAAGAAAGCGAGGTTATTTTTTGATATAAAGTTAGTTGCGTTGATAGGTAGAAGCTATTGACAAGGACGGAACCAGTTTTGTCGCCAGGAGGGGGACGCGTAGCCGTGTTCAAGTCAATAATCTTTAAATTAATTATGATAACAATAGATACAAGTAAAATGTAGATATTTAGTGGCTTTAGAAGTGGGGATATAAATTAGCGGAAAGATACTCTTTAGTAAAATATATTAAACAATTCCTCTAAAGATGTTATGATAATCAGTCAGATCCTACATGTATCACTTATATGCATAGTAATATTTAGTAGTAAATTTACTCTTAAACAGAATCAGTTTGAATTAAATTTAAGAGTTTGAAGATAAAAAGGCCCTTTTCTATTATTTTAGCAATAGTTATTGCATTCGCTAATGAATTTTTGTTGCAGGGTAAAAAAAGTTTTGGTTACGTACCGTTACTGGGCAAGCAAGGTACATATTATAAGAAGCATGGACTGTTCTGTTTGATGCCACAAAATTATCCAGATGCAGTTAATAACGTAAGTTACCTACGTTTTCAAAATGTTTATCAAAATGAAATATGGTATGGATTGTCAATTTTTGATAAATTTTGTAATATTTTCATATAAGGTTACATTAATATTTTTTCTTTTATTTCAGAGAAATTTTCCCAACTCTGTTCTGAATCCGGGCGAAGTGTACGTGCATCGAATACAGTATAAATTTGGTATACTACTCGGAAAATACGTCTAATAAAAAGTGTATAAGTAATGTAAACGTTTGAAATAAAGAGCAATTGTGGTCGTGTAAAATTACTTTGTTTAAAAAAAACTTCCTAACTACTTTTATACTATCATTATAAAGTTGAATATTTGTTTGATAAAACGCGCTGATATCGGAAACTACTGGTTCGAATAGAAAAAGTATTATTTTAGTTGAATACTCCATTTATAGGGGAAGATATATAATATCACGCTGCGACCAATACGAGTTAAAACAGTGGAAAATGTGGAAATAACGGGGAAAATTATGCCTATTTACGGGCTTCCATTGCGCTGCGAAAACGTTTCAAGAAACCAAAAAATATGTATGAAAGAATATTTCCTTATTACAGATATAAAAATTTCCGCCACAGTATATATCAGATTTGGTGGACATTAATACATTGTTACCAATTATTTGTTACAACTTAACAATGTTAATCTTGCAAACGACAAATTTGCTAGATCAGTTAGTAAATTAAACAAACAAGTATGTTATGTAGCAAAGCCATTTCACCTTTCATCAATTGAAACCCTCTGTGATGAAAAACCAATCCGTAATACAGAAGCAAAACTTATTCGTGTAGGTACAGATGGCTGTACGAAACTTAATTACCCATTCACCCAATAACCTATTAAATTCCGTGTTTTGCGCATGTTCCACGCTTGACGCTTCTCCCTCAGCGCGTCACTTAAATGACAATTGACTTTATGGGAGCATATGTCATGTTATCAAGTACAGACGTCTTTAGAGATTTGTTAGTATGGTAAGCGTAAATAAAAAAGATTTCCCGCGCCTATTTATTTGCGAAAATCCAAGTACTTTTCAAGGTTCAGGTATACAGATAAATTGATAATTTTACCTAAAATAAAAGTGTGTTCGGTCGCTTTCTATTACACTTTTAGTTTTTGATAATTTTATTAATGACTTAGTAAACATCTTGCTGTCGCAAAGTATTTGTAAATATTTTTTTGCATTAAATATTTCTTCTGTGCCTCCTTTATACGAGTATTATCTTATCGCACTGAATTTGTTTTTTCACAATAATTAAGTAAAGTTTCAAGGAATCTCAATAAAATATTTGAAATTTGATATATTCTTTCAAAATCAAAAGTTCAATGTCTCGCAATATATATTAGATACTTTACCTCTATTTAGATAAAACATACACGATTTTATTAAACAGAGAGAGATGGGCAGTGTTATATTTTAACAATATCTGCGGACTCTAGTACTCTACCTATTTAGTGAGGTCAATGAGCCTACACAGTATAATAACAAATACAATATAATCTTATCGACAATAAAATTATTTTCGCTCTAAGTAACAAATGACTCCTAAACTAACCGCATTATCACGCATGCGCGGTAGACATGGCGCGAAATGTTATCTTAGGAATCGCATTCTAAAAAATATAATAGTAAGTTACTGTATTGTTTGAATACTTGTGACGTATTAACTAGAATCTATTAGATTAAATTTCCATGTGAATATGTGGAGATTTTATATGCAACTTAAATAGTTATAAACAAAAGCAATGTTTATTATCGTATGTATACCAAATGGTACGTCTTCGTTCCCGCCCAATTACAAACACGTTGCGTGAAAAAAGGTTGCATAATATACCGTTTAACTAAACATACTGTACGGCCGTTGTAACTTGGCAGGCCTTTGATAAAATCTTTAATAACTTTTTCATTATTGAACTACCTGATTTAGTTAAATATGAGTAATTATTTATTTAATTACTATTTATACCTTCTTTAGGGCTTTTTATAAAATTATATTTCTACGATCCAATTTTGTCTATTTCCATAGGAATATTAAAGGACACTCACAAGGATCGCGTATGGACATCTCTATTTGGTTTGAACCAATTAGTGGTATTTGACTTTTGAGTACTATATGTAGAATCTTCCATTTATCCCAGTAACGAAATAAATGGCAGTATTAGTTTTCTATACGAGTGTACAATTTTGTTATCTAATTTTCACAATTTTAATAGGAATCGATTAAAGGATACTCTCAAGGATCGCTTTTGGACATCTCTATTTGGTTCTTTCGTAAAGCTTCGTATATATTATGGTAAACAGTAGTGCGTCTCGGTCAATCCTCGGTCAGTCTTGAGTGCAGTCCGTTAGAAAAGTGATTGTTTATTGTTAAATTTAATATTACTATTTATCTTTTGCTATATTTTTGTGAAAGATAAGTGTTCGTTAGCCCTTATTCTCTTTGAATCAATTATTGACTTGCTATAGGTAAAATTTTTAATTTATCCCAGTAACGAAAATAAATGGCAGTATTAGTTTTCTTTACGAGTGTACATGCGTCAAAGTTAGTCTAACCTCTGTTCAGAGCTGCCAAGTTACATCGGCCGTATTATACTTACTTTTTTTAGAAAAAAAAGAAAAAAAGACAATCCATACAACAAGACAAAGTAAATTGTAATGTTTTTTATTTATTGTTAATAAGGAGTGAATAATAAAGAAACATCATATTGGAACACTTTCTAATCATCAGCCATCTATTCCCAACACTGGGACACGAGCATCGTATAAGTGCAGAAGTTCTTCACCACCTTTCAAGACCTGGGATCATAACTATTTGAATATATTGGTGTTTATACCAATTTATAGACACTAGACTCAGGTTTTAAGATATATGTAAAGGTAAAATTTTATTAAACAAATATTAAATTATAGAACAAATAAGTAACGACTCTAAGTTTGAGTTAAAAGTAACTTTAAGGGATATATATGTGGTATATATTAGACAATAAAATAATAAAGATAAATCCTTTCTTTTCTCCTTAAGTTAACATGTGAATAGAATAAACAATATTTAATCGCTTTATAAGAGATTATTTTACGATATACCAGAAAATTTTGCATCGATTTGACTTTTAAGAATGTTGAAGTCCTATATCTGTTATGTATAAAGTATTACTTCTCCTTTAGATAAAACATTTATATTTATTTTTGAGCAGCCTGTCACTCACGCTTGCACAGGATTCAAACCTAGAACCGACATAACATATACATGTAAAATATGCTTATTACTTGTTCTATGTGCTAAAGAATTACGTACTGAAGTAACAAATTGTCCAACTAACAACGGTTATATGAGACAAGGAAAATTAAAGCCACAATCTCTAAATGTAAACAAAATTATTATTACTTACTAAGAATCTAGGTTATCTAACTTAAAATAGCTCTTGGAATGAAAAAGCTCTAGAACGCAGGAAGAGTATGTACCAACATTCACTCAGAGATTTGTTTATTTTCAATGCACGTGTAAAAAAAGGGTTTCTTTGAATAAACTTTGCGTAGTGGTGGAGGTTGCGCCAATTCAGAGATGGAGTGTTTGTCGGTTATGTTTATTTACAGCCACCAAGGCTTAATGGTTTCGGTCGGGCAGGGCACAGTTCTTGCCTACTTAATATTTAAACATTGTGCCATAAATGTATATTTATCGCGTATTTCATTAATCACTATTTAATCTATGAGTTATTTACATTACATATAATACGAATATCAAAATATTATAGAAGAACTATGGGAATACTTAGCTAATTACTGTTAAGTTTGGTTGGGAGAGGACAATTCAAATTCGGAATTACAACGGTTAATGAAGAATACATTTTTTATTGAGACTTTATAAAGAAGTATATCATTGATTATACAGAATACAAACACTTTTAGAGTTTAAAATGCGAAATATATTAGTTACTTATTTATTGTAACTGCGGCCCGACGTTTCGAATGCTTTTCATCTGTTTCGTCGTAGTTGCTGTTTAACAAAACGGATGGTGCTAGCGTGGCAAAATTGATTTTGATAATGTCGAAATAAAATTTGCCACGCTAGCACCATCCCATCTTCAGCTTCCCCCGTGACCATGGTAGCTGCAAATTATCCGAAACGTGGGGCCGTAGTTGAAGTAAATTTTAGATAAATAATCGATCATGTTTAGTTATGTAAACTGTTATAAGTGTTTTATTAAAATTGTTACTACTTGTTTACACGTTTATGCGTATTGCCTGTAGTTTTACATACAATACAAAATAGAAAGGATAAGGGACAAGAAAATCATTTTAATTGAATTAAACTCAATTACAAACAATATTTGTTTGTAATATTTGTTTTCCGGATATCCAAAGCCAATACACAGCGCACCTTGTCAAGATTTTATATGGCTGGGGTATTTCCTTTCATCAAAAAAAAAGTCTTATTGAAGGTTCGTAAATATGTTTGCCATAATAAACCTACTGGCTGCGTTTTGGACCCCTTGATGTTCACAGATTAAAATTGAAACCGATGCTTCATGGCTTTTTGTCTTTTGACGGTAGTTTGTTACCCAGGCCGAATTTAAACGAAGCCTATCACATGTTCCAAAACATTTTAGAACCATGATGGACCTGCTGTGACAGAACGCATACTGCTCTCATTGGCCCAATGCGACGGGACCGATGTTTTTATGTAAGTATTGCTTTAAGTTTATTAGTCAAATAAAATGATAAATAAAATATTTTACCACTTAATAATTTACAAGAATGTAGACACTCCAAATTTGTAGCAGTACACATTGCTAGTTCATCATATTATCGTCGAACCGAACGTCATAAATAAAAATATTTAATGTCTTCCAAAGATACTTCGCAGTTGTTTTAAACGGTAATTTTAACTATAGTTTCCTCTTAAAATAATATTTTAATCAAAGACATCCGATGGATTACATCAAAGGAACTATTAATTTTACAACTTTGCTTCATAGATATTTTTGCAGTGATCGCTTCCTTGCATTTTTGTCGGTTTCCACGAATCTGATATTGACAACTGTACTTGCAAGGATTTAGGCTCGTCAGTAGGTGAATAAGATTTATCATTCTCTGAATCACGCTCGAAACGAGACGATAAATGCACTTTTAATTACGCACAATTAAAGAATATTTTTGTAAAAATTGCACATACACATACGACCTTTTGGTCCCAACAATACCACTGTGATAAGCGCAGGAGAGGGGTCATGGAACTCCACAAGAATGAGTCTTTGCAAGTGTGAAAGAGATGCAATACTTTGCAACCTTTATCCTTGCAGGCTTTAATGCAGATAGTTTATTTTCGTATGCGTTAAATTGTTCCCAAAATCTTTACACAATAACCTACAAAATAAACAATTTAACTGAGGCATATTATAAATCGTCGATCTAAATCTAAAAAAAAGTCACTAATCGGATCGTAAGAATTCATTCCTAGAATACAAAAAAGGTTAAATTAATTTCACATCTGTTTTTAACGATGTCTAACCAGTACAGTATACTCTACCTTTAAACCCTTCTAATTTTGATTATGACAAAACGAGTATGTATGAATGTGTGCTATTCTTTTACACCGATATGATTAGATCGATTTTGATAAAAAAACTTTGTATATTAGTTTAACACTAAAAACGTCAGATTCTCATGAGAGTTCTAAAAATATGTATTTTTATAGATAATAAAGTTAACAATAATATAATTAAGATGAAGGACTGTGAACGAATGGGGCAGACCCCATTAGTGTTTTGGTATTAAGTCAATAAAGAACATTACATTAAGTGGTTAGACAGATATATACATGGAGTGTGCAGCGAAAATAACACAAAAGGTTCGCGTAGGCTGCGATGCAAGACGTTAGCGATATATGCATTTTAAGTTGAGACGAAAACTTATACCTACTGGGTTCGCGTGGTCCGTCGCCGAGCGTCGCGCATACCATTCGCGGTTTGACGCTAGCGAGGCACAGACGGTGCCTACGCCTCGGCCGCTTCCGAACCAAGTTTTACACAATACCAGTTCATCAACAGCAGGATGAGGGTCCGACCGCTTTCGGCGGCCCTGCTTTTCGTCCTACTCTCTCTACTCTCCGAGGTAAGTTCGGCTATACGCGATTTTTTACACTTTAAACTTTGAAAAACTTAAAGTTTGAACACACGTAAATTCTATTTAATTCGGTTTATCGTTCGCAAACTTTTTGCCGGTTTTTTGTAAAGTGTTCTGCGATAGTATTGAAGCTTTTATTTCAAAGTAGTAAATATTATCTATTACAACTGTATATCTGACAGGATATGTTGAAAATGTTTGATAGCGTATTGTGACTTTAAACAGTGCTGTCTTGGCGGAAGAATTTTTGGAACATATCTTTTCAGTCAATCGATGTATATTTTTAAATTACGATTATTCTGTTAGTCTTTGTTTGGAGAGCCAAGAATCGACGCAGCGGTAACTCAATAATGATATGAACATATACGAAATGAAAAATTGCAAATATAATTTTATTGTTGTCTCAAAAAATTCAGTCAAGCAACAATATATTCTCAGTGTTTGACTCTGTTCGATGCACTTAGTGCATATATCTAATAACTAAGTTATTATTAGTTCCGACTATAAAGTCCATTAGCTTAACTAGCTCCATTTAACTTAGATCACACATAAAATACTTTTTTTTATTAATTTTCGCATTTAGAACTTTATTCTAAACGCAGAAATAGATGAATGAATAATTCAAAACTTCAAAAACTTCGCTATTCGTTTGGATAATATGTGCATCATACAAAAACCGTTTTTAAAAATTAACTTTAAAAAAAATGTCTATTCTTGTATATTCAAATTCCATCAGATTTTTTCTATAGTTCGAATATAATTTACAAATTGATGTTAAACAGCTATACGTACTTTGAAGGCCGGTTCTGGTTTTTTGTTAAAAGTAGTTTGTTTATACGAATTTAAAAATGGTTAACTTTGTGTACTCTCTTTAGAGTAAAACATTTTGAACTGATAAAATTGCAAAATATACAATATCTGTGAACCCAAACGTGGTTGTTGAAATAACAAAACTTACACTAAATTTTTATTCTTCGCGGAGAGAGAAATAGGTAGTTCGTTAATAATGACTTGTCAAAACTGTATTAAAACATGTCTATATAAATAAAAGTAAAAAAAGTCAATTTCGAATAATTCGCATTTAAAAGCTTACTATAATTTATATAATATACCTAATAATTACGAGTTCATTTTACTAAAATATAATGAAGTTATTATAAGAGAAACACACATACCATTTGAAGTTATTGTAGGCTTATAAATGAAATGGTATCATTAATATAAATCACATGCCATAAAGCTATTTTATATTTGCATTACTTGGAAATGTTGCTAAGACTGCAAACTGTATTATGGCAATTATTTAAATAAAATGATGAGTTTTACATTGAGGTACGGTAACATTCCGAATAACAACATACTAAGCACTGCGTTTACCTACATGAGCTACAATAGATTGTCTTAGAGAAATAAAAGGACAAAAAACAATCCACAAGACCGTGAAATTACTAATGTATTATAATTATAAATATAAATTTTTTTCTTCCCAATACTTATCGTAAACATTTTTTACTTATTATTTATACTGTATAAGTAACAGGAAGAAGGTCAATAGTATTATAATAGTTATTTTTGTGAACCTTATATAAACTTAAGCTGGGTACATATATTATAGAACAAGTGCGTGATTATAAAGTTCTTAAAAATTTTAAATTTGAGATCGACAAACATTGTAATTATTTTTAATGTTCATCTTTAACCAGGGATTGCCTTCGTAGCTAAATAGTACTTAGAACGATACTTAACGTCTTGGGATCTTGGGTTAGACTCCCGGAGAAAATATACACAGATATTAGCCGGGTAGCATGACTTGTCTTTAAATAAAAGTGAATAGATATATAATTATGTTGCGCTGTTATTTCACACACCTTTTTTTATATTACACGCTATTCTACACTCACGCTGTCGTTTTTTAAATTTCGAATTTTTTAATAACCTAATTCAAGTTCAGAAACCAACGCAGTTTATATTTTCACAATAACATGCAAACGGCGCATTGGTTTTTCAAACAGAGCGTTTCTCTCAATGCGATGTATGCAGGCCTAACGAATATCCTTGTGCAATCTGATCATCAATCTCGTATCAGAAGGCGTCGCCTCGGTCCTTATTCAATTTTCTGCCTCGAAAATAGAGGCACATTCTTAAAAGCTTTCATTTTGCACAAATACGCGCTATTTTGTAACGCACTTAATATTAATACTCTTTGGGTGAGATTATATTGCATTTGTTTTGAGTGCGTAAAATATGTAATTATAAATAAAACACGTTTAACGGTTAAAAACGAGATTTTTTGTTGCTTTACAAAGTAGTGGGTGTTCTAATGTCAAGTATGCATAAGTTGTAATAAAGCCAACCAAATTTAACATATAAATTAGAAAAACAAATTTAGAGTTAAAAAATTGCGACATGGACGGGAATTGAACCGGCATCCACAGAGTCCCGTGCTGCTGCCCCAACCCATTGATGCCGATAGAAACCGGTACAACTCCCGCCCGTGTAGTATTTTTTTTAATAGATTTTAATTTAATGAGTGTTTCTTATTTAAAAGCCCCACTTCAATACTTACTTTATTATATACTATATGTAGTACATAAAAAAAAAAATTTTTTGAGTGCATATTCTAGTTGAAAATCTCGTTTAATGTAGCCCCCCCCATTTATTACTTCGTTTTGTTTGGTATTACTTAGTACGTACTTGTGGTTATAGCGACAATAGATATACAAAATACTCTTTCTCTAGCTAGTCACGTTTTCTGAAGAGCCTTTATTGGCAGACATACTAAATATATAAATAAATGAAAAAATTAAAACACAGGCGGGCATCCACATTGTTACTTCTGTCGATTTTTTTTTTAATCTAAAAAAGATTTATAATTGATATACATATAGCGAATTTCTATCGATAAGGTCTGTTTTGTACTAATTTTAAACCGTTTTATTTTTTAAGTTTATATATTTTTTTTGAAAATTATCTCGTCAATGTTTTCTTGAATTTAATAGTTCAATTATTTGTAATTGTAACATTACACTCAAACATGTCGTGGTTATAGAAGCTATAATAAGTTCTTTATGGTGTATTATTCTGACAGTAAATTAAACTAGCTCTTAAATATCATAAACACTTCAATGACAACCGAACCATTAGTTAAGCAATTTCTCAAGAGGTCCAAGAATTATTATGTCCATGAAATGATCAATGATCATGCCAATTGTTTTCTTAATGGCGTGTGAGACTTGAAATTCAATCTGATTTATAAAACTGGACCAATTCCAGGTATACTACAATACATTGTCGTACTAAAAGTGTTTATTGTCGAACATGATTATCGTTAAAAACACCTGCATCTTGTAATATCAAAATGCAAAAGCAATGTCAATGCTTTTTGGAATTTAATTAAAATAAAACATACGATTAGTTGTTTTGATGTAATAGTATTAAAATAACAAGTAGGATTAATAAAATAAAGGTGTAATTTTTATACAAGTTATTTTCGTGAAGAATACATATGAAAATGTCCCAATGTTTTTTTTTGGAATTGAACAACAATTTCTATGTTATGTAGCTGAGTTATAAATATTACAATAGTTTAGAAATGTTTTAAAATTTGGTGGTAGGCTTTATCCCGGGGAAAAGTCTTACATAGTTCCAATCCTGCAATTAACGAACAGTAGTTTGCATAATTATCTGTAAATAAAATCGAACAATAAAACAGACACAGAAATATAATATTTTTTCACATAAAGGCATAATATGCAACATCAGATTAGTTGTTTTAAATTAACCTCAATTATAATAAGATTCTTAGAACATTTAAAATTCTACTCTCCTTTCAAGTAAATAGCATTAAAAGAACAAGTGGGGTATTATACAAAGGTGCAGTTTTTATACGCTCAGTATATCGTACGAAATAGCTCAATGTTTTCTATTTGCTTATAACGACCTAGTACTTTTACTAGTTTCTTTATGACATTATTTCTAGCATCAGCGAAATGTCCGCTTCTTTTTACTGTTTTGACAGATACATATGTGTGTCTGCTATCCTAAGGGTATGTTTACCCATATTTCGAACATAGTACTTTTTGCCCTAAACTCAAAGCCGAGCTACGCAAGCAAGTGCCACGGAAGCTGTACTCCTAGAAAAGCGAAAGAGATAAGTTGTCCCTTTTATTTTACCTCTCTGAGCTTTATCTAAGAATTATACATTCGTTATTCTAATTTAATCCTTAGGAGTTTAATGTTAACTGGACTATTAATGATACTATAAATCGAACCTGCCAAGTTTTAGAGCTAAGGTTAGCTCGAAGAACATAGTGGAGGCGGCACGTAGATAACTTGTTTCCAACTTCTTGTGGTCATTCCAAAGTTGCTTAACACGCTAAAAATAAACTGAAGCCGCTAAAAAGCAAGCAGATTAGATCCTTTTTAATAATAGCTTCTTGGATATCTGATTTTTGTTACAAAGATGTATTCGACTCTAGAGTTAGGGTTAATCGCATTTAAATTACAGTAGTCACAAAAAATAAAATACGGCTTATAAGAATTCGAATTATTGTTTCTTATGATTATATTCCCACCGATGGGCGCATCTCTTGTTCAAGAGAGGGTTTGAAAGCTTAAACCCACCACGCGTAGACAATTCGTCTTTATCGGTCACTACCACTACCATGAGACGTTGCCGATCTTTAGCGAGTACCGTCACTAAAGTATCATGATGACCGGGGCAGACATCTCCACGTTCTAATTGAGGCAAGACCTCTCAAATTTTGGTACTAGTTTTTACTAGTTTTTTTTAACATACAGAAATATCATTTTGTAACTTTCTTTTGTTTGTAGTAAGAAAAGACCGTTACAATATCGCTGCCGCTGTTCAAAATTGACCCCGCCAAATCCGCAACCGCGTATCAGGGGTTATCTTTCGCTTCCTGACAACTAGATACCAACGTGCCTAAATATAAAGTAGAGTCATTCCGTCCTTCTTGCACCTATTA